AATATATAAAGGGATATATAAATAAAAACGATACCATCTTTTAAAAGAAGATCAAAACGTTTCACCCACTACCCCTGGAATGCTTGAATAATTCAAAATTTACAAGCATGGCATTGAGCACATCTTTTCGCATCCTTTCTAGTCGGAGTTATATTGACACCGTACAAAGGATTATCAGACAATTATGCAGGTACGCCTCTCTTATAATTATAACATGCTATTTTTTAGTATCTAAACATTTTGTTTCGTATTATCTGGGGCTAGTAAATCAATGTATAATTAATCCCAGATATTATAGTTAACGTAAAATGTTTGATAATTGTTTGAAGCACATCGATTTTTTTCAACATAATTATACATGACTAGAGCCACAGACATTGTAGTGTTGTGAAGACATTGTATAGTGTTGTGAATTGATGCTTCCATAAGATAATCTTATAATCTTAGGCCACACTTAAAACTATTTTGGTTTGCCCAAACCTTTAATTACTCAAAGGTAGAGACAGTGGGTAGGTAGGCAGGCATTTTTTTTTTCGGCTAAGAGAAATTGAAGTGTCAGATTTTTTTCTTCATGACTATCTGATTAAAATAAAACTTTTTCAAATCAGGACAATAAAAGATTTTGAGTAGGCAGATATTTTCTGGGAAGGTAGGGTTAGGGCAAACAAACATGTTTTTTTTATGGCCTTATTTATGTTTTATATGAAGGTTACTATAAATAATTAAATAACATGATATTCAGAATTAAGACTATGGTTAATCCTGATTGGTCGATGTGCGCAGCAGGAATTTTTTATTACTAGACACTTCTTTCACTTTGCATTATACCAAAGGCAAAATAATATATTTTCGTAAAAGGGAACGAGAAGTCATTTCTACCCTGAGACGAGACACGTATTTAATGTGCAGAATTGTTGCGCAAGGGAGATAAGTACAAATTAAGAAAAGCAATGGGAACCTATATTATTGAACTAAAAAAATAGTTTGGAAGCAGAATGCTATTCACTCTGCCGTATTCACAATTAAGTTACACGTATGCCTGTTGCGATTACGGGAATTATCATGATCACCGTATACATTTTTTTATAATTCAATATGATGAATATGTTCCAAATTAATAACTATAATAATTCACATTTCTTTTACGAATTATCTTCATATTTAACTGTATTAAATGCGCGCAAATGTAATAAAAAGCTGCGCGCAAACTTAAAAAAAATTAATATCCAAATGCTCTCAAACATTGTCAAATGTAATGCGCCCATTTAATTCCGGTGGCAGTTGTTATAGTAATATCACCACTACCCTATCTAAGGATATGCACCTTTGGGATAAACTTGACTTCAAAAATCAGCATGCTTATCCATCATAACACGATTTTAACACATCAAGCCATTTTTTAACATGAGTAGGTTAAACTTGTACTTACTAAGGGGGAAATCAAGGAATTTCATAACTAAAAGGTAGATTTATGTACAGGATAACCTAGGAGGGAAAATGAGACACAATATTTTATTGATTGGAAAGAAAATTGAAAAAGACACAATCTAACACCTTCGTCCACGTTATACTGAATTTAAGTTTTAAATTATATAATTCAATAGTAATAATAATAAAATTGCATGTAAAATTTTTTATAGTCTTGAAATAACATACTAAAGTAATTAAACTTTTATCAGTGCAAGTAACATTTTTCTCCTGGTTTAACGAGGCCGATAGATAGATGTCTGTTTGTGTTGAGATAAATCATTCAATTTAGATCTGCGTATTCTGCAAGATTTGTGAATCATTAAACCCTGAAATATCTTACTAACCTTGGTCGATAGTTGTATGTAAAGTATATTAAAAACTGCCGAAAGACAGGAAGATCATGAAGATATAACATAAACATATTTCTTTTTATTCTGAAATTGATTTCTTGTAAAGACCAGTACTTCACATTTATAAACACTTCCGCCATTTCGTATGCATAACAAGTCAGCATTGAGTTTTTTTTTTCAAATTCACAGTCATGGTTTATAATTATAAGATATAAGATAAAAAGCCTCGTATAAGAGTTTGGATGGGGGTTCTTTATTTCTGTATATTTTAAAAAGATATTATGGGGTATTTATCTTTATCTTTAAAAATAACGCTACATTTTACTATCAAATTCATTTATAGTTATATGATTTCTGTATTCTGTACATCGTTCATTTCTGTAAGCTAAATGCTTTTATTTTCAACAGATATTCTGTATACTTTTGCACCCAATCATTAGCTATTCTTTATGTTTTGCTCGTTTTTCTGTAATCATTATTTTTTGGGTCATTATTCTCTATTCTGTAAACCCAATCAAGACCCTCTCGTATGCATTTGGGCGATTCGATATACATGTACTTGAACCATACAAAACTATCAGTCTTGATCTAGTTCGTGGAGGAATTTTTTTGGCCAGATAACCAATTCAATCAAAAACTAGAAAGCATTTGTAGCATTTCAAATCAAGAAACTTTCTATCTTGTTGATAACTTTCATTTCCGGTTACCAGAATCTTGTATCAAAACGTTGGCACTGACTTGACGTTAAGCTCACAACACTCAATCAATGTATCACAACATAATATAGGGTTTCTCAATCAATATTCTGTTTTTTTTTCTCTCAAACCCTCTTAATCTCGGTCGCAAAACATTAATGACGAAGGCTGTCATACAAAAATTACGAAAGCCTATTAGGGTCACAAAAAAAAAATATTTATCGCGTAATTACGAGAAAACTATCGCGTAATTACGAGAAAACTATCGCGTAATTACGAGATAGGTATCGCGTAATTACGAGATAATTTTCGCGTAATTACGAGATAACTATCACGTAATTACGAGATAATTATCTCGTAATTACGAGATAAAAACTTCTTATCTCGTAATTACGCGATAGTTTTCTCGTAATTACGCGATGATTATCTCGTAATTACGAGTTAAAAAATGATTATCTCGTAATTACGCGATAAATATTTTTTTTGTGACCCTAATAGGCTTTCGTAAAAAATGGATATTTGGATTTTGTAAAACTTTACTATGTTGGACATTTAAAACCAACATAAATTCATTGCATCTGGAAACTGATATAGTGTTACATCTGGGACCGTATATATCTTACAATCAGAACAGTTTCTTTGGTTTTTTTTTAAATTCTTTTTTTTTCGATACATATCTCTTCAATGTTAGCGTCACATTATGCAAAATTGCAGTTCCAATCTACATTGAGCACGATAATCTGAAATATGATTGCCATAAAAAAGACAATGTTCTATTAGAACTCCACAGTGGTGATGAGATACTGGGAATTTTAGAAACGATTAATTGACTTTTCAAGTACCAGATATTAACTAGTTTCAGGGAAAATTGGCCTGATTTTTTGTCACATTGGCGTTCATTCTAGATTTACTTGTACTTTACAATTGTTTAAAGAAAGACTTTTTGTTTCTTTCATCAATGTCATATCAGTTATAATTTCTATCGCATTTTATTTGTTCTTTTTAATCCTCCAAAAAACCATGCATATTTCATTTTTCCTTTACAAACTAAAAAATGAAACATTATGATAGTTGGTATCGTGGTACAGTTCAAAATATTTGTCATTCATTTGGTGATATTATCCATGCATGCAAGAGTGCGTACATTCGTTCGCGTTAATGACGCCATTTCACGTGATTTTCATGAATTTATAGAAAAGTTCTTAGTCTTTTGTAGTTTAGGCAAACGCTTCTATATGATTCTAAAATACAGAAATCAAACTAACAAATCAAAGATGTCATGATTTAAAGTTTATGAAACTTTCAAAGTCTTGTTTGTATTTGTATATTAATGGAAGGGATATTTAACATACGAAAAGATGCAATTGAATAAATCTTGCTGGTAGACATTACAATGTATATTTGAATCTCAAATTGGACGGAGAATATGATCGCTGTATATATTAAAGATATAAATATTTATTGGATTAAAGTAATGATTTCTTCACCTTTCAAGCCAGAGATCAGAAGATGATTATTTTGGCCAGGTGTAGATTATCGACAGGTGAATATAATGTAAACAACATTTAACTGTCTGAACTTATTGCTTTCTGTTTCCCACAGTGTTTTATGGAACCATACATGTATAAAAATGAACAGCTGTACTAGAAAAAAAAGCTTATTTTGTCTTACAATTTGGATAAAATTCACATGTGTATAGATCTTTTAAAACTGTCCGCAACAAAAGAACAATCACTATAAGGAAGGTCTTTTCTATGGTGGAACTTAATGTTTTTGGAGTTATAGAATTTTCCACTTTAATTTTGATCTGTATTTTTGGCTGGGTTGGTGAGTATGCAGTATAGACATCGTGATAATTTGAATCTTAAAACCTCTTTACTTACAATTCACCATTGTTCACTCAATTAATGGAAATTAAGTGTCATGCTTTTAATTTTGAACTTTCATACAATTCACGTTTAAACGGTAAGAGAAAGAACAGTACTAATTTTAAAATATCGCAATATTATCGCATACATGTTACATAATTGTATAAATGTATAAATCGTAGTTTGTTTATTTATCTTTACCAGACATAGTATTACGTAAATTTTGTGCTTTTTAAAATATAATAATAAAATGTCAAGAGGGTAACAGTCGATGAAAGAAAGATAATCTTTGTAAATTTATAGAGTTGAATAAATATGTTAATAAAGATAAAAATGTCCCCAAAAAGGCCTATCCTTTTTATTTGTTCTGAACTAGAAATCCGAAAATATCAGTAAAAACACAGTCTTTAATATGGTTACAAAAACTCATTATCAAGGAACAAATGTAACCATATCCAACCCGTTCACCTAAGTCTGTTCAAATTCGATTATTTTATTCACCAAAAAAATATATAAACAACCTTAACCTACTAAGCGTAAAAATAAAAAAAAAATGATATATAAAGGCCCACGCATGTTATATATAACAAAGAAAATTTAAAGTTTACCTATCTAAAACGTACAAGATGTGACTGTCTGTAGACGGCTACTTAAAACGGGGAAGTAACAATTAAAGTTTACAGTAAAATTTACGAAAGGGTGATAATTGGTGCTATTCACTGGGGAATAAAAGATAGAATTTGATTTATCATTGGAATGTAGGAGTAACTCCTGTTGTTAACTGATGGACGAACAACTTTATAACGTGAATTGACACTTTCACCTTGATTTTTATTTATTATGTAAATAATGTGGTTTAAACTTCTTTTACCTGATTATATTTATTGAAAAGATGTGTATTCCGTCGAGTGCAATGAACGCATGTTTTATTATTTAGGATTTCTTACCCTAACTACATAACCAAAGGAACTAGTAATATCTGTATAGGATTGTTAAAATTCGCTTTTTGATTCTACATTCTATTGTAAACTCAATTTCACAGGGACTACAAATTCATATTGATATAAACAACAATGATTGTTCCATTTTTGAGTGTAAATTCGTGTTTGACAGCAGTAAACACATCGGCCTCTTTGAAACTGGATATAGTCATGATAGTGTTACCTCGTACTTTCTAAGTTTAAAGTACTGTTGAACGGTAGGTTATTTTATTTATTTTTTTGGTCACATGATATTTCTTTACAAGTATATTTATCATTTTGTATGCATACATTAAATTGTCGTTATTTTTTATATAACGTTATCATTCAAAAGCATACACCCATGTACCCAGACCCCTTTTATCGTGAATGTACATGTTTCATTTATGTTACAAATAAACGATGAAAAATTAAAGAATAAAGCCGAGTCTACTGACTCCTACTGCTATTTTCCTTAATATAATCGTCTTTGTTAATCAATCTATTTCTCTTGAATTTCAATGTAAGAAAGTATCAAAAATTTTGCATTACAAATACGAATAAATTAAACCAAGCATGGTATGGGTTTTGCTCATTGTTGAAGGCCGTAAATGACCTATAGCTACTAACTCCTACGTAATGTTGTCTCTGGTGGTGAGTTGTCTCATTAGCAATCACACCACATCTTCTTATTTTTACATATCGGTAACCTTTGCTATTAGAAAACATACTAGTGCTTGCTTAAAGAACCCTTGCAATAACTCTTTAAGGGTCCTGTTTGACCAGTTGCAAACTTTAAGACTAGATTACTACTGCTAGAAACCTAATTTTCCAGTCTATGGCAGTCGAAGTTCTTAGCCTTCTATCGGTAGACTCATTTTGCATACCCTAGTATACCAATATCTTTAATTGTTAATTTGTTGACGTCCTGGGTATATATGAAATATTTGCCATCAGACGTTAAGCAAACAACATTCAAATCTTGATTTTAAACTGAACTGAATACTTACTGTAATCAATTAACATTTATCAAATAAAGATACATTTTCTTTAAAGTATGGGGTTTACAGAATAGAGAATAATGGACAAATAAAATAAAGAATAGGTAAACATTACCTTAAAAAATAAAGAATACAGAAATGAAGGACCCCGTGATTTTACTTGGAAACATTTTCTTACACATTTATTATTTTTTCCCGCTTATTTTTCGGGAAAGGGTCTTCGATAGCAACCCTAAAAAGTTGAAAACGAGACCGTCAAAATATTTATACCAATTAAGCCACTCCTCTAAAGCATACGTATGCTTTTGTTCAACTTCCCCATCGTAACACAACAAGGAAATTACCTTTATCAATTTAAACTGTTGTGGTCGGTTTAAACGTTACCCATTTCTGTATAATGTTTATTGATAAAAATTCTTTAATTTATATAAATTGAAAAACGTGCAGCACCCATTCCCAATTTTATCACAACCGGGAAGGTTACTGAGATCATTTCAAGTTAATTGTATTGATATAAATGTCAATTCACAAACACCTACGATAATACAGGTATATTCAATATAAACTAAATTTACCTTATATTTAATGTGATAATGATTTATCTGTATTTCTCATAAATTGAAATATACAATATGTTATAACGTTTTTCTTGATAAATTGTTTGTAATTTTGATGAATTGTTCCCTAGGAAATTACAACAATGCTTCGTCGTGGCTACAGACGAGGGTTAACCTTTAGTATCATGATATAGCTTATGTCGTAAACACAGTGATAAGTCATTTGATTATGAAATGATTTATATATTAAAATAAGAATATTTGGTAAAATTGTCAATGAGACAACTATCAACCAGAGCCCACATGACGTAGGTGGCATATTAAATTATATTATTGTCTAATTTTGAAATTTTTAATCTTTTCTATGATTTCTCATTACGTACAAAATCATACAATAGATCACACAATGACCAACGTATAAAAAGTGCACAGAGAGATAGGTTGATGGTGTATGCGATTTTTTCCGAACTGATCAGACTCTGGACTTGAGCTCCTACAATGAGAACGTCGGTTTGCATAGGACACCAATTAACCAATCCATCGGTAAACACTTACTCGGTTCGCACCTTCGGAACATGATACTGTTTACCAACCGCGTCAGTTTTCTTTTGGGATGTAGGCACCAATCACCGAGTTTCTCTCTCGCTCGCTCTCTCTCGATTGAACAGTAACCTTAGGAAAAATGCAAACAAGATTATGGTCCCTGCTACCCCTACAATTTGAAAGTTCAAGGGTTTTTGGATCCACGATGAAAATGAAACGACACGTTTTCTTAATATGGATATATTAAAATTACTATTGAAACTCTTATATACATGATATAACTATAAATGAATAAGATTCAAAGCTTAAAACTGTTCAATGATAAACCGGTTTTATATTTGAATAAAATCACGAAAATGTAACTAACATATGTAACTGTTATATATACCTGTCAAGAAGAACCCGTTTTTCTTCCAATTATATACCTGTCAAGAAGAAACCGTTTTTCTTCCAATTACATATACAAGTCATATGATTCAATGTGCATGATAATTAAGGACACAACGAAATAAACAAGGTAAGGTCATAAAAATTATGTGAAATATTCCAGCTTCTATAATGATACCTGTATAATCGTTCATAAAAAGTAAGGTAAATTTGATATTATATATAGTAAAGATCTTAAAGGTATTACATCGTATATATACATGTTGAATTTGACTTTTTAATTTTAAACAGTGATAAGTAATCTCGTTTTACAATGTTATAACCGGTTATTTAAATTAATGGAAACCACTATTGGTATTAAGCCGTATATTATTAAGGAGTATAGTACATTTCTTATTCCCTAAACTATACGACGTCGTCGTACGCGTTCATTTATTAATTGCATCGTTTTCGTTTGGTCTGGTTTGCACTATCCCAGTTTACTTAAGGAATAAGCGTGGATGTCGACAATGTTCCGATTTACTAGCATTGAAACTCAAATTCTGTAATAACGACATGCCAGCAAACACAGTCAATATTCAACAATTGTTCGGTAATCGTTTAATATTTACTTTGTTTTTTATCAAGAATTTTTTTAACAACATAGTGTGTATTTCTGTCTAGACGCCATCTAATTAACCTTCGAGGTGACCTCCGAAGACTGCCGACGGTCATATAACCTGATATAAACATAAATATAAATATAAACAGATATAGTGACAACGTGCAATTGGATTTTTCTTAATCTGTTTGATTTCACATTGTAGGTTAAAAAGTATGTTATTCGTCATTTTTACCTCTATAAGTATGATTTTTTTTTGTGGATCGAATTAGTCAATTAAATAGTTCATCCTTGTTTCAATTTCAATGTTGACATTCTTTTCCCTTTAATAGCTGAATACTTGCGTAACCCATGTCCAGCTAAGGGGTTTAATTAATTGAAGGTCACATGAATACGGATTCAATGAGGTCGAATTATTCACTTGCAAGTGAATAATTCATCAGCGATGTTTCTAAGCTTATTTTGACAAAATTGAACCAAGTTGGCTTTTAAAACCGAATTATTATTTCACTTTTTCACTTTCATTAATGATTGAACCAAAAAAAAAATCATATTTTCAAATTTTTTTTTTCATATCTCATAGCAAATGCCCCTTTAGCATGAATTATCTAGTGGTTAAAATTAATAATATTAAAGGAACAATTAAGAAAGCATCATAAAGCCAGGGTAAACCGTGCGATACCCTCATGATCATTGGTCAGTAAACACCCTCGTAGTTGTATTCGTGCTTCGTGCTACTTTGTACACATTTGTACAAAATCATGGTCAGTGTTATCATATATTTAAAGTAATAAGCACCAAGGTGAGAGTTACTTCCCGGGAATATCTCACCAATCACACAGTCACGTAGGACAATATGAAAATTATAAATCGTACAACATCATTATGATTATAAGAAATTCTAGGGGTCAGGGTGTTGCCAACATTGAATTAACTTTGTCATTTATTTGCATGGAAATAACACCATAGTTGTTCATGTCATTAATTCGCTTGGAAATAACAACACAGTTGTTCATGTCATTAATTCGCATGGAAATAACACCACAGTTGTACATGTCATTAATTCGCATGTAAATAACACCACAGTTGTTCATGTTATTAATTCGCATGGACATAACACCACAGTTGTTCATGTCATTAGTTCACATGGAAATAACACCACAGTTGTTCATGTCATTAATTCGCTTGGAAATAACACCACAGTTGTTCATGTTATTAATTCGCATGGAAATAACAACACAGTTGTTCATGTCATTAATTCGCATGGAAATAACACCACAGTTGTACATGTCATTAATTCGCATGTAAATAACACCACAGTTGTTCATGTTATTAATTCGCATGGACATAACACCACAGTTGTTCATGTCATTAGTTCACATGGAAATAACACCACAGTTGTTCATGTCATTTATTCGCATGGACATAACACCACAGTTGTTCATGTTATTAATTCGCATGGACATAACACCACAGTTGTTCATGTTATTAATTCGCATGGACATAACACCACAGTTGTACATGTCATTAATTCGCATGTAAATACTACCACAGTTGTTCATGTCATTAATTCGCATGGACATAACACCACAGTTGTTCATGTTATTAATTCGCATGGGAATAACACCACAGTTGTTCATGTTATTAATTCGCATGGAAATAACACCACAGTTGTACATGTCATTAATTCGCATGAAAATAACACCACAGTTGTACATGTCATTAATTCGCATGTAAATACTACCACAGTTGTTCATGTCATTAATTCGCATGGAAATAACACCACAGTTGTACATGTCATTAATTCGCATGTAAATACTATCACAGTTGTTCATGTCATTAATTCGCATGGAAATAACACCACAGTTGTTCATGTTATTAATGCGCATGGAAATAACACCACAGTTGTACATGTCATTAATTCGCATGGAAATAACACCACAGTTGTTCATGTAATTAATTCGCATGGAAATAACACCACAGTTGTTCATGTCATTAATTCGCATGGAAATAACACCACAGATGTTCATGTCATTCATTCGCATGGAAATAACAACACAGTTGTACATGTCATTAATTCGCATGGAAATAACACCACAGTTGTTCATGTCATTAGTTCACATTGAAATAACACCACAGTTGTTCATGTCATTAATTCGCATGGAAATAACACCATATTTGTTCATCACATTAATTCGCATGTAAATAACACCACAGTTGTTCATGTCATTAATTCGCATGGTAATAACACCACAGTTGTTCATGTATAAAGGCACCGATCAATGTATCGTTAGCGAGAACACAGCATTGGCAGTCTTACTCTAAACATTTATAGTCACGTGTTAAATATTTTTGTACAGAGATCTAACTGTCGCAGGCTTTTCTGACTTGCTTCTCTTTCTTCTCTAAAATAATTGCGAGCATGTTGCATATGAATGTTTAAAATTTCCATATTTTTTAGAGCTCTCAGAGCATAGTTAAAAAGGATGAAAAGATAGAAATAACTGACTTTCTGATATGTCTAATATTTGTATAAACTTTAATTCTTGTTATTTTTTAGAGCTGTAAGAGAACAGATAAACAGGATACAAAGGAAATAAAGATACGAAAAACTAAATAATCGTTATTGTAACTCTTGAAAACTCCGACCAAAACATTGTGTGTTTATTTGTGTTACTGAACTATGCCATTAACTGATTCCGACTGTGCTGCCACCTATAAGATTCTAGTATTAGGGGATACAACTGTTGGAAAATCTTCTATATTAAGAACTTTAGTGGGGAAAGATTTCGTGAATAAGACTCTCCCGACTGTTGGTAAGTTTTTCATAATAATCTTATATAAAATATATATATCTTCTTAATTATTAATCACATTCAGTCAGCAAAAAGACAGTTCACGCAGTCGTCCACCTTCCAATGGCAAACGTTTAACCATTGTGCTGTTTTGTACAGATACAATGATCTTTGTTTGCATGTGAACATGCTTTTTTCAGTCCTATGGCTTTAGTTAACGACTAATGAGTATTATTATCCTTTGGTATCTCTCGTTTCTTTGACTTATGAGTTTTGATTGTCCAATTGGTATCTCCCGTCACTCTGACTAATGAGTTTTGATTGTCCAATTGGTATCTCCCGTCACTCTGACTAATGAGTTTTGATTGTCCAATTGGTATCTCCCGCCACTCTGACTTATGAGTTTTGGGTATCCTTCGGTGTGTTCTGTCTCTTTGACGTACTAGTTTTGATTGTCCATTTTGGTATCGTCCGGTCTCTTTGACTTATGAATTTTGATTGTACATTTTGATATCTTCCGGCTCTTTGACCTATGGGTTTTGATTATCCTTTGTTATGTCCGCGTCTCCTACCAGAATAAGTATAACATTTTACGTCACAATTTTACCCAAACAGATGTGCTTTTAATGTTTCTACAGACAGTGGTATCGAGGCCTAAATATTTGAAAATCCAAAACTTATACAAACAAGCTGATTTGACCGAAAAGGATCAAGTGTTTTGCCGAATTGCAATCTCTTTCCCCATTGATATTGAATAACGTGATAAGACAGGATAAATCCGTTTTCGCCAAAAATGTGCCCTGCTGAGCAACAACTAGCTCATTTGTGCCAATGCTACGTTTTCACCACTAGTTTTCAAAATACCTAGTATAATTTGCGCAAAAATAAAGTATACGATTGCGCCAATTAGAAAAACCCCCTCCTTTATCCGGGCTGGGCTTGTGACCAACATGTTTACACTTGAGGAGTCATTTTAAGTCATTCAATAACATTTAACTAATAAGTCAAACAAAATATTTATATATGCCCCTAACTACAACAAAGCAGCACTTCATAGATAACTATGATTGGAGGCAATTTTTATGTGTGCGATCTCAAAATGTGTAACGTCTGCTCATCAGATTTGGAGTAGGAGCAGCTATTTCGTGCAAGTCGATTATAATCACATTGCATCCAGTGTTACAATGATAAGATTAATAAAATGTTGTTATTTTCGAGCGAATGTATATGCATGTATTAGCGAAGATTCATTGATGTAATTTAACTTAATAGAAAAACAAGAATATGGGGTATCCATCCTTGACACAAAATCAGTACATGCACAGCAAAAAACACACAAAAAGCAAAGGAACAGCGATTTTATTGCAGTTCTTGATCTCAAAGTCACAGTGAGGCCTTAGTCTATTTCTATGTGAGGTTACAGTAGGATTCCCAGATTTGTTATTTATTACAGTAAAAAGTAAACTAATTAAATGATTGATTGATTGCTTACTTGATTACTGTTTGTTTAACGTTCAGTGGCAAATATTTCAAGTATTTAAACGAGATTAGATAATTTAAAACAATAAACGCAAAAGGTTATGCAAAGTGGATCAACTGAGGTGAATGCTGGGCAATTTATACTGCCACTTAAAATAACAGGGTATTAAGTTTAATAGAACAGAGACCGCCTCGGTGGTCTCGTGGTAGCGTGTTCGCCTCGATTGCGGGAGGTCGTGGGTTCGGACCCCGGCCGGGTCAAACCAAAGACTTTAAAAGCAAAGACTGGCGGCTCGGAGTCAGAATAATGTGTCCGGGTAATCCGACTAATGTGAGATGTCTTCCTGCGTACTGTTACCTTGTGAACTAGCACGTTAAAAATCAAGCTCAGCGTGTCGGTCTAGTACAAAGCAGGGTTAATATTCATATAACATTAACAGGTTCTCAGCCTGAATATGCATATCAATTTGCTGCAGCCATTCATCATCATCATCATCATCATCATCATCATCATCAATAGGACAGCTATGTTGCCGTGCAACATGCCCCTAAAAGAGTTGCTATAAGGATTCATTTACATACAGAGTACAATGCACGCTCCTTACAAGAGGAATCGAATTAATATCTCCATTCCGACCGGACGTGGCTGTGTATTTTTATATCCCTGAAATTATAAAGTACTTCTCTCTTTACCAAGTCAACTCTTGGATGAACTAGTATTTTTTTTATTCCTGTAACACGACGCGGCGAATTCTTTACAATTAAGTCGAAAAACCATCTTCATATTTAGGACTAATAAGCTTGTGTACTAATGCTGTTTAAATTCACATTTTTAGGTATTGACTTTGTTCGAAGAACATTTGAAGTTGATGGAGCTCTTGTCAAACTAAATGTATGGTGAGTGACTTATTTAATAGTATATCCATGTTTTAGACGTTTTTTAGAGGCCTGCAATGATAAAACATTTTTTTTGCAACTTTTATGGCATTGAACAAAATTAAATCATTATGAGATGTCAACATTCACGTTTGTCACTTTGCATTATTGGAATAATAGTCTGATGAAATTATTTTGCACACGAACGTATAAAGTAGAACAATGATTTTTTGATAAAGGAATTTAGTACATAGAGGTTTTCACTAGCTGATGGTAAGAAATACAAGTCGTACATAATGTATGTTAGCCACGAATCTACATCACCCACAAAATGTAAATTTTATATTTCAAATGCACAGTGGATTACAAAACAGAAAGGAGTGACGGTTCTAGGTGATGGATGTCTATCGAAATTTATTATAAAAACAAAGCAGTGTGTACAGTATAACATTAGTAAAATGCATTTGAACGTTATATCTTTAAAACAAAATGAAAACATAATAGAAATATAAGTCCATTAAAAAGTTACATGAACACAAACAGATTATACTATGGACATACACATTTTGATAAATTGGGAAAAAGTACCAGATGAGATCTTATAAGTTTTTTACACTAGAATATTTTGTTTTTTTAGGGATACTGCTGGTCAACAAAGATTTCATTCTGTCACGAGGAAGCATTATAGAGGAGTACAGGTAACATTATAATAAAAATCATTTAAGGGACAACCATTTGATTTTCTGGCAAGAGGATTTCGAAAATGAACAACTTAGTCTGGTTAACACTGAAAATGAATAACTTTGCACAAGACAGGATGAAAATGAATAGTCTGCAAAACAAAATCCCGGAAACAAATGTGTGCAAAAGTGAATAAAAAAATAACATACGTATATAGCAACAGTTCAAAATAAATGATCAATCCGAAAAAAAATCCTCCTGCCCCCTCTCAGTCCCTAGAATATCCAATGGTAATCCCTTATGTATAATAAAGTATATTTACTTACTTAAAGAGGGTGTACTTATAACAAATACAGTTACTTACAACACGTTCGTGTACTTAACACATTGCAAGTACATTTGCTAGCACTATTACATGTAGGTAGGTGTTCTGACCTGTATACATTAAAATACCTCAACTGAGTTTTCAAACTTAATTTAATTCAAAAAGTTATATTAATACATAGAAATGATTAAAGGAATCGCCAAAAATACTGGAGAGTACAACAAACACACTAACCACCAAAACCAAACTCCTTTAAAACACTTTCAAATAACAGTGACAACACATGGTCCAGATAGCCAGACTTAGGACATGCCCAAAATGTGCGCACAAACCTCCCCATTGCCAACTAGTGTCCAAATCACCGACACCAATCAGGTTGGATATAGAAGAGAGATGAACAATACTATAGAGATATTCAAACTCATAGTCGAAAACAAACTGTCAATATTATGGCAATAAACGAAAAACGACCAAAAAACAAACAACAGTACACAAAACACAACATAGAAAACTAAAGACTGAGCTATTAATATACAGAATTAACAGAGCCCATCAAAGATCTGTTATCAACACACAATTCACTTCACCTAGTAAATGACAAAATACAATAAGATATGACAAAATGCAACAACTAACTAGGTTCCTGACATGGGAGTGGTAAAGATCAAATGGCAGCGTTAAAAGTTCTTTTTCTGCAGGTGTAACACCATGCCGTCTTACACTCTAATATCGGTGGTTGTTCCCCAAGGCAGATTTCCTACAATAAATTTTCTGTTATGAAAACTACACAGAAACACAATCTTGTGCTATATTTTAATGTAGAAATAAGACTAACTTTTTCGTCTTGTTTGAAACTATAAATTAGCAAATTAATGTTCATCGAAAAAATACCAGACGCAATGAGCAAAAAAAAAACCGACAGTATAATTTATCATTAAATTTTAGCAATAATGCAATGGCGACCAAATCAAACATTAGGGGGGGAGTTCTTAAACTTGTAATTTTAAAAATAATATAACGGTAAAAGCTTGGCGTGAAAGAACTCGTTCCTCTATATATACTCTAAATGTTTTCTTTAGTATTATTCTATTCTAAATGAATCATTTTTCGACGTTTTTTTTCCAGGGTATAGTATTGGTTTATGATATCACAGACAGGAAATCATTCACACATTTATCGTTTTGGGTCGACAGTGTAAATAAAGTAAGTGCAGTATCTTGGAAAACTGCAAATTATAACAGAACATTGATTCATGCTCCATCTTCTTCTTTGTCTTCTTCTATAGGGTATCCACCCTATTTACAGAGCCACCGCATTAACAATATATGTGTTTATTTAAAAAAAAAATTACCTTGTTAATATAGTTATGAATGTTAAACTAAAATAAAATAAAGGTAACAAGAGAGAGAATATGTCTTTACACTGTACACACCAGTCTGACCATAAATTAAAAACTTATTTTATTTTAAATTGGATAAAACTCATTGATATGGCATTGGTTAGACTATCTTCAGCTTAAAAATTTTCGCTTATTATAATACAAGTATTTACTGTTTTCTATAATTTGCATGTGTCTTTGAAAAGTGTCAGTTTGTTGTAGCGTCCAATTAACAAATACCCATCCAAAGTGTAAAGATATTGACACAAAAATGGCTGCCAATGCTAAAATTAGCATAGAGCATGACATGAAAGAATTCGTGAAGGAAAATTATAACTTGTGTACTTCGAAGTGGAATTATAAGACACGATAAAAAGACATAAAATTTTATTTGACAATCAAAATGTTCTTGAAATCACTATGAAAGAGTGTACAAATACATGTAATCTCACTTAGGGGTCAACATTTGATATTCTGGGGTACGGCGGTGCACGTGGGTGGTGAGGGGCAGGATGATTTTATCATTTGATATTCAGGTGGGGCGGGAGTGGCATGAGGTTTTTTTTTCTGACGGAATGTTTATTTGGACCTTTTGCAAGTATCTTTTATTTTTTGTGCTTTGCCGCGTGAAAACTTATTTTCACTTTTGTACACATTCATATCCTGCATTTTGATGGGTTAAATATTTTTTAGGTTATTTATTTTCAAATTTCCTTTAAAAAAACAAAACAAATACACACTATTAAAAAGGTAAACACGAACAAAATCGATTACGTTGAAAATACATTTATATCATGAAAGACCGAGGAAATAAACAAAAATGTTTTTCGCTTATCTAGGGTTTCAGGTTTATAAGGTAGATAAAAATACACGAAGTAAATATTATAATCTTATTAACATTTATGAGTGTTCACGAACCTTTATATGACTTCCTTAGTTAAAAAATCATATTAATTTATTCTTGAACAATTCCTTGACATTGTATATAATAAATACGATTTTTTTCCAATTTCAGGGAATAACAAATAGTAAGAATAAATACGATACAGTACCGATCATATTAGTGGGAAACAAATCAGATTTAGACCATGGAAGACAAATAGAGGAGGAAGAAGGGAAACAGGTGGGTACAGTTTAGAACAAACACTTGGAAAACTACTATATAGAATTGAAACCTTAGAAATGAAAACTAAATGAATAAAATCATGTCTTATCTTGTTTATCACTAAATACAGCACATCGCTGTCATGTTAACTAATTTATTTTCACAATTAGCCCTATATTTCTAGCATATATTTCATAAATGGTATAATATTCTGGAATCGTTTTTCCATGTTCTACATCATTTCAATTGACATAATTATTCTTGTTTTTGAGACGCAAATGTCACATTCACGTATATATAAATAAGAAGATGTGGTATGAGTGCCAATGAAACTATAAATCCAAGTCACAATGTGTGAAAAGTAAACAATTATAGGTCAAAGTACGGCCTTCAACACGGAACCTGGGCTCACACCGAGCAGCAAGCTATAAAGGGCCACACAAAGACTAGTGTAAAACCATTCAAACAGGAAAACCAACGGTCTAATCTATATATATATATAAAAAAACGAGAAACGAGAAACACTTATGAACCACAACAACAAACAACAAGCTCCTGACTTAGGACAGGTGCATAAAATGCAGCGGGTTTAGATATGTTTTTTTATGCCCCGCCGTAGCGGAGGGGGCATTAAGGTTTACACTTGTCCGTCCGTACGCCCTTCCGTATGTACGTCCCGAAATTAGTTTCCATTTTTAACCTCAGTTTACCTCGAGCAAATGTTATAAAACTTATACACAATGCTTATTACCACAAAACTCAGATCAAGTTCGAATTTGGGTGGCGTCACTTTTACTGTTCTGTAGTGATGGATCTTTCTAACTTTATATGCAAGATGAGGTATCATCTGTGTCCTATGGACACATTCTCCATTTATTTTGTAATAGATGTGAATGATTTTACCTGACTTGCCCTGGCATATAACCATGTGGCGAGTTTAGAATTTTAGTTCAACCTGCTCAACAGAGCTTCGTGAGCTTCTTCACTTGCGTCTTTCATCCGACGGACCATTTGTACTTAGATTATCTTAATTTTCATCATCTCCTCGTATCATCATCATGCACATTTATACCAAACTCGGCAGGTATAATGCATGGATATGGTAGAGTCCTTTATCAGGTTTACAGAACATACTTGTTTGTTTGCTTCGACTCGGACGGAAACACAAAGCAAAGCAAACTTGGAGCCGTAATCTCAAGGTTTCAACCCTCCACCTTTAACATTATAGAGTAGAATATAAAAAGGTACGCAAACGAGTGCATAAAGAAGGCATTCAATTGTTACTGGAAGCAAACTCGAAGTACTTAATTTACCAATAGTAGAATATAACAATGATGAGATTTGGGGGATACGTTAATACGACACAAAATCAAGTCAGCATGCAAAAATATACGTTGACGTCGTAGTGCCAGAAGGACCGATTACACCATCACAAAAAAGAAAACAGACAAATAAGTCCACAAAACGCCACCAGAAAACTAACACTATAGAAACACACAAAAGAAAATTAAAAGCTGAAATGATTTAAAAGGGAAAGCAGTAAAGTTTGTTTATATTTTATAGCTAGCAACCAAAATACTGGCGTTTGACTTCATAGAAACCAGTGCCAAAAAGAATGAAAATGTCTTCATGATGTTTAAAAGACTTGCTCAGTATGTTACTGAAACGTTTGATCCTAAAGTGGTAAGAATAATTATACTTATATATAAGGGGGGGTAGGGTTACGGTTTTTTCCTAAAAAAATATTCTGATCCCCAATTTGATGAAAAAAATATTGTGGTCAAGCAAATGAAAAAAAAAATTATCTGAATCTAGATTTTCCCCATACCTTATAGTGTTAAATTTTGAAAAAAATAATTTGATTGATAGCGTCGAAAAACTAAAAAAAAATGTCTGACTCAGACAAAAAACCATATACCCCTCCCTTGAAGTTAAATGGTTGCTCCCTTAGAATTTTTTTTTATATAATTTGCTGATTTTTATATCTTAAGTATATAGGGAGACCATCAATTTTGTCACAATTCACTACAAAAGGTGGCAATAAAAACATTAACCATATCATTAAAAAAGGGGCCAATAGGGAAACCCTTAACACAAGTATTTTGCCTTATTTGTAAAAAGTAGGAACATTCTTAATCATGCACTACGTTTAAATATATCTTTCAGATTTCATTATCTGACATAAATTACAATGCTTATAGTTTTACTCTTTGCCACTGCTTTTTTCTTCTTTAAATCGTAATTCATTGAAACAATTCTGTTTTATTAAGCCAAACAAATCAAATTTTGATACAACACCATTTCTGAAATCGAATCGAGTGCACTCAAGGCATAAATCATTGGTGTATGAATTTGTTTATTACCGTTTGAAAAATATACGTGATAATGCATTCACCGTATTACGACAATAAATAGTATCAATTAAGTTTTAATAACTAGACATTGTTTATTTGTGTATATTAGATAAACTGTACTCATTCTGTCTGCTGTTATTATAATGTATTATTTATAATTGATGCTCCTGTAGAACAGTTACTTCGTCTGAGTTTATCTAATAAAATTCTAGAAGTTCTAGAGAAATGACCTATAAATAGTTATGAGTACCGAGAATTCAACCTCACACGATAATCAGTAATTAATAATGAAATTTCAATGGTATTTTTCAACTCTTTTTATTATAACATTTCTAATTTTGAACAGATGAAAAGTTATCATCCATACATGTTACGACCGCCAGAAATAATGGAAGAAAAGCGAAAGCAGAATGAAAATTCAAAAAAGAAAAAGAAGAAAAAGAAAAAGAAAGAAAAAAGTACAAAACAAGATAAAAATAAATCGAAAAAAGATAAGTTACTGACATCTCCATGTACAGCAACTGAACATTCAAATGGTCATCTCCTAGAAAATGAAATCACAAACTGTGATGAACATAACCCACAACAAAACGGAAAAATAAAGAAAAAATCTCGAGGACTGAAATTGACAAAGAGAAAACTAAAAATCATTAAAACTACAAATAAAAATAAAAGGAAAAAGAAGAGAAAGACACTAGGCTTCCTTTGGCGGAAGCTTATTAGGCGAAAACGAGATAGTTCAAAGAGAGAAAGCGGAAGCAGTACCGAAGACACATCAAGACATGATCATAGTTGTATTATATTATGATATGTCACAAGCATTATCATACAGTGTTCCAATCCGAGTCCCCAAACGAAGTTTCGAACAGTTGTTGAGCAAGGAAAGTGCTCTTTTGGTTCTATGTCGGAGAAAACTGTTTAACATTTTTTGATTGAATGTGTTCAGTATTAACTTAATTTTTACATGGTGGCATTTATTTGAAATATGGATTAAATATTTATATTAATTGTATCTGAAAAAACGATATCATAATTTTCCAAGTTTTGTTATTTTGTCTAAAGAAAGATAATAATGATTAGTTTTATTTCAGTCCAAACTTATTCTTAGACGATGACCCTTTTTCAGTTGGAATGAACCAGCAGTAATTATTGTAGAGTTGTCATTCCTATAATTTAACAGGCGTTGTTTTCAACTGTAAAATTACAAAATAACAAGCTTTTTATAGATTGGTTGTTTACAAATAATGGAACTAAAAAAGCAGAGAAAAATGAAGATTCGTGTCCTTGTTTTTGAGATATAAGCCATTGAAAATTTGGCGGGAAATGATTCCCTCTAGATTCTTTTTTCATTTAACATTGGCACCTTTTATCTTTCAAAAACTATGAAAAAATAACAAGGATTTTTTAAGATTTTCAAAAATTTTACAATATATGCGAATGTTATAAAATTATGAAAAAGAATATTACAGGAGCTACGTAGAAAAGTAAAACCTTCTGAAACGCGATAAAATTGTTCCGATGGCGGGTCATCCGGTTTTATATATCACTTTCGTTGGTTATCAAAATATAAATTGATGAACCATTGGGCTTATGGGACTATATCATGGACACATATAACTTGAATAAATCTCGTTTTCACAGTGTTTAAGAGATAACAAAAGACAAAACTCAAATTTGTTTCTAAGTTCTAGCTTGACTATATATTATGAATTTTGTTCATTGTTGAAAGCTGTTTGGTGACTTATAGTTGCTTAAATCCACGCCATTTAGACTTTGCTGGATAGTTCTCTCATTGGCAATCATACCACTTTTTCTATATATATGTTGAAAATTGGTTATCTCGTCCTTACTACAACAGTTTGCTAGGTTGAATCCTTAAGCTAATGCGTTTGTTACATTGAATTCACTGCCGCATTTAGAATATGAAAAACGACAAATTTAAGTGATGAGATATACATTTACAAACTTGCTAGTGTTTAATACCTTTCCTCATAGTATGACTCGTCAACGGATTTAGCAAGATGGACGAATATTTTGTTTACTCCTGTTTTGTAGTTTTAGTAAAGGATCTTTGGTCCCTTGAATTCGAATGTAAATTAGTATATTAAGTATAATAAGTATTAAATCTATCACATTATAACAAGTATTAAATCTATCACATTATAACAAGTATTAAATCTATGACATTATAACAAGTATTAAATCTATCAAATCATAATATCACATGTTCACAACACAGTCAGATTTTAATAGTAGCACATTTTAATATCATAGTACATATCTGTTAAAGCATTTAAACTTCTTGTATTTCAGGGGGAAACTCAAAGCATTATACTAAAGATGTGCTTATTGTCAGGATTTTGGTTTTTCCTTAAATTTTCAAAAAATGACAGGAAACTGAACTTTGGCAATCTGGTAATTTAAGGTAATATGCAGAGTACAGAGTCCGGTTTACTCCTCACACGTTTACATCATACAGATTATATAATATATTAAGAGATCTCAAGAATGTGTATTTTATCAGGATATCGATTTACTTTTAATTATTCACAAATAATAATGTTTAACCTTTTTTGGCGGGTGCATCAAATGTGTCTTTTATACACAAGCATTTCAAATTGAACTATTACATCGCTATTTACAATGTTCTACATTAAACTTTTT